ATTGAAATATTAAATAATTTTATGAGTTGAAGATTATAATGAAATTAGGAAAAAATGAGGACTTTAACATCTATCATAATCTACTGCAATTTATTTCGAAATAAAAACTTATACTGTTTCGCGACGTATTAACTTTCTGTGCTTTATATATTTTTGGGTTATTATGCTGCAAATCAGAGAGAACAAGATATGAAATATACTTCTAAAATTTATATAAAAATTAAATGATTTTAATGAGGCAAGCACAGACAAGAGAATTTTATTATAATTTTAAGTAAGTTTTATTCTGACGGAATTTTAATACAAGGGCGCTATTTAATTCGTGAAAGTTGTAAAGTTTTGAAAGAAGGAGTTGGCGATCCAATTAAATTTTTGCTGGAAAAATCACTTCTAAAGCTAAAAAAAAGATACGCATCAGAATTGTCAAACCTTGTAAAAAATTCTTGATAATTATTTTTAATCTGAGGAAAATCTGATGTATTTCCACTGTGCGTGAATATCATATTAAAAATTGAAAATTAAAAAGTTGTGAAAAGAGTAAATGGCACTTTATAATATAGCCGTTAGAAAAATCGCGAGCATAGGAAAAATACACGGAAACTATATCTTTGCATTTTTCGAAAGAAAAAACTACTTCGCATACTGTTAGCTGCAATTTCGGCGGCACTTGTCTTCCGCGCACGCACACTTTCTCAATTAAAAATGACTTTATCATCGTCGTTGCTGACGGCGCGCAGACGAAGTTAGCTAGGACAAATTATATTTCGTCGTTGAGTGAAAGGGGAACGAGATTGGTATCGGGGTCGGTTGGAAGAGTCGAGGGGGTGAGCGAAGGATGGTAACGGAAGGAAGGGTCCGGGGGAAAAAAGGGAGAAATGCGCTGCCGCAGTGGCGACGCCGTCTGCAATTACAATGCCTTAATTTTATGCGCGAAGTTAAGCTCCTTTTAAGAGTCCCGGGAGTGGTTAAGTCCCCCTTACGACCCGACCGCCCCCCCCCCACATTTCTCCCCGCAACATTCGTTTTGCCAACGCTGTCCGTATTCATGGGAGACCTTCTTTTAGACCGCCGCGCCGGTGCCGGCGCAGCTTCCGTCCCAACGGGACACAGCAATTATTTTAATTTGTTTAGAGGCCATCTGGCATCTCCATTCCATTTTCTATCTTTTCATTCTGTACTCTCGATACCGATTTCTCTGACTACTCGTCCCCATTACGGACGGCTTCAAGTTTCGCTATCTAATCTTATCGCATGATCACGGAAAATAGCTGGCTGCCATTAGCGGTATTAAAAAGAAAGATAGAAATCTATTAAAATACAGGTTAATAATATTATATACGTATCTGATAGCATTATTTTATGTAAAATTAAACTTTCACATTTTTGTTTTAAAAGTTAGTCCCAAATTAGTCCACATTTCACAATCACTGAAGTATTCCTATAATTTTCTTTTTCTACGACGTAGTTACTCATAATAAATTCAAATTTTGCTGTTAATAAGTGTTTGTTAAAAGAAAGTTAGTATTAAAATTATTATTACTGTACATTAAGATTTACATGTATTATCTTAAATATTAAAGTAATTAATTAATTTATTAAAACATTTAATTAATATAATATGGATATTATAATTAAAAAATTTTTTTTGTATATTTAATAGAACACACGTTCAATATTTGTAGGTTGACTTTTGGGATTGGTATTTTTATCTATATTTATTTTTAGAAATAATGAATTCTTCATGACTTGTGCAATAAAAAGGACCATGCGAAGAGAAAAGCTCTATCAAAGCGCAATAAATTTTTGTTGTTCTCGCAATCGGACAGAATTAATAATGCAGTTTCGACAATTCGGACATGGAACGCGTTGTAAAAAAAATTCTCACAATCAAAGTGCATGACAGAATTTATGTGATCGTGACGTGCTTTATTGCTCGCAATTGCTGTTTTTGACGGCAATAACGAATAGCTAACAATATTAATTAAAACTTTGTCAGATGATAATCATTTGAAAAATGCTTATGACATATTTTGAAATCGGACAGAATCCCAAGTGTTACAATTATAATATTTTTTTATATTATGTTTTAATAAATAGTCAGTAAAATTTTCCTGACATTTTAATTCATATGATCCGCATAAAAAAATATATTCTACGCTTCATAATACATGCACAATTTACGCGCAATAATTTACTCATATTATACGGGTTTTCCTTAACTTTTTATTTCATATGATAACAGATTTTATTAATAAAATGGATTTTGTTTTTACAAAATGTCACGTTTTATATTGTTCTCTGTAATTTTTGAGTTCTCTTAATTCGTTGATTTTATCTCTGCTTTCATGCATTTAAATGTAAATATATGTTTAGATTATTTTATCTTGCGAAAAGAGCTTTATTGTAGCAAATCTAAATGCATCATAAAATATAAGTTCGATAGATTTTATATTTGTAAACTTGTGAAATATAAAATAAATTATAAAAACCTGCTAACTTATTTATAAAATAATGTAATATATATATAAAATAATATAGCTTTTACGCAGGATATTTGCTTTTATACAAAGAAAATATTTTTAATTTAAAAGTTAAAAAACGCGAAATTTTTTGAAAATTTGTTGCAAAAATAATATTGCACAACGAAAAATTAAACATATAACATATATGCTAACTAGAACGGAATGATTCAGTACAACTATATAGAGTCCCGTGCTTTTCAACATCGTTCCGCCAACAGCCTTCGCCTTCACGCTTAATTATACGCGTGACACAACGTGACCGACTTTCGCAAATAAAATTTTCCACGAGGGATTTACTCGCTCGGCCTCGGAGAGCAGCCGTCCGTCGCAATTAGACCTTTTTACTGTCGACGTGTGTTCGCGGATCCCTTAAATTTTACGTAGACCGCGTAAATCACGGAGAAGAGCTCGACAAGCAGGTTGACGCCGAATGTCGCGCTACGCCGCGCTGGTAAATTTGCGGATCTACTCGACGAGATATCGTGCTCATTAAAAACCGATCCAATTTGTCTTGGCAGCCGGAGAGCCAAAGGTCGATGAGAGGGAACGCCGAAACTTCGGCATCGTGTGGACACTCAGGCATGATCGACGCGGCGTAAGCGTCTTATCGCGTCAACTGCGCCGTGACTACGTTACTCGATTAGACTTACAAACTTACGTTCGAGCGCGCTTGGCCTGACCCGATGATAATTGACGACCTAAAAGGCAGGATGCACCTGCGTCTGCAGCTGATCTTTGTGTGTGCAATAATAGAATATCTCGGTCTCTCAAACTGTAGAACGGAGTAACAAATATTCTGCATGTGCAATCAGGAAACCCGAGCCACGATTGCAGTGAGACAATATGACGTTCCTAAATTGTTTTGAAATGTTGAAAATTGATATTATCCGTGTAAATTGTTCTGCAGAATATATAGCATAGATTTCGTTTGTAACAAAGTATATACACGTTTTTTACGTTTGACAAAAAAATCAACGTATCTTGAAAAATAATTTCAAGTCCGCAAAGGTGTATGTGGCTTCACCAAAAATTAGTTTGCAAACTTTAAGATAGATTTTCTTAAATAAGTGGTTCTTATAAGTCTCTAACTGCGATTTTGTTATTATTTCTTTATTTCTCCACGAACAGCATACACGAAAAGTTTTTACCTGATGGAGAGGTTGCTTTAAAGTGCGCCGAATTTTTTTGTCAAACAGTGTTGATTAGATTATTGTCGTCGTTCGTATTGGCGAACTACTCGGTGAGTCATAACGCGAACCATACAGCACGCGCGGCCGCCTCTCCTTTTAGTGAGACCTAATACTGCGCCCGGAAAGAGCTTCGACCTGGGAAGTAAGGGGTTATCTGACTCTCTCGGTCGAGTGCACTTCTCTCGGCCTGTATTGGGTCTCCTCGAGCCCAGGCAACTACGAAGGAGGACGGGCGAGTGTTCCACCTCTTCTCGCTGGCTCCTCGACTATGACGAATTGCGAAAGTTTGGTGAAAAATTGGCCGAAGCCAGATAAGAGCGGCTGGGGTGTATTGTGCGTCGTACTTCGGTCGTCGGCCATTCGTTCCCGCGCTTACTTTCATCCCTCTGGCCGACTTAACCCGCATTATTTAGCCCAGGCCAATCCCCTTGCCTCCTCGTCCCGTTCTCGGTTTTCCACGCCTCTCTCTCTCTCTCTCT